GAGCAATGTTCATTGTTTCGCATAATGTGCTAAGAAACATTTATATATCAATGATTTTTAATCATACAAAGCATATCGTGCTTAGCTCCTTAACCTAAGCAACGTTCATTATGCAATAATCACTATACGTGCTTAGCTTCTAGACCTAAGTGACGTTCAAAATCGCTTCTTTACACCATATATGATGCTTAGCTCCATGACTTAGTTCATTCATCTATCGTGTCACATGATGTAATTGTCCTTAGCCTCCTGGCCTAAGAACATGCATCATGCATACATTATTTTCAGGACAAGCAATTAAATCCATACGATTCATTTCGTCTTGCTCAAGGAGGAAGCTCAAAACTTCTTTCCTTTTTTCGCGTCTTTTCTTTTGGAAGGAAGTTCGAAAATAAAAGTTCAGTTTTCACATCTTTCTTTTTCGGGAGAAAATCGGTACCCTCCACTCATGACAAAAATTGACGGAAAATTTTTGCTTTTGCATCTTTGTTTGCTTGTGTCTGCCACACACATATACACACACACACACACACACTCACAAGTCATACACATGTCATGTCACATCAAGTCAAACTTGGTCAAGTTAGTGGTCAAGTCAATCACAGTATATACGAGTCCATTGGCAAATTTATTTTTGTAGGTCTTATCCACAGCCCACGTCTGGGGACAAGTGGACCATCTACAGCCCACGTCCGGGGACAAGCGGACCATCTACAGCCCACGTCCGGGGACAAGCGGACCACCATCATTTCAAAACTCAAGGTTCTCGATACATAGAGACTTGCAATCTCATCATCTTTCGACTTTCCTCAAGCATGAAAGTATTATCCGGTGGTTTTTTCTTCAAGTATAGAAAACCGCCAAATCGACTTTCCTCAAGCATGGAAGGCATTATCGGTGGAATTCTTCAAGCATAGAATGACACCATATTCATCAGTCGGCTTTCCTCAGGCTTGGAAAGCGTTATCGGTGGATTTTTCTTCAAGTATAGAAAACCGCCAAGTCGGCTTTCCTCAAGCTTGGAAAGCGTTATCGGTGGATTTTTCTTCAAGTATAGAAAACCGCCAAGTCGGCTTTCCTCAAGCATGGAAAGCATCATCGGTGGATTTCTTCAAGCATAGAATGACACCAAATTCATACGTCGACTTTCCTCAAGCATGGAAAGTATTATCCGGTAGGTTTCTTCAGGCTTAGAAAACTACCAAACTCCTCAGTCGGCTTTCCTCAGGCATGGAAAGCGTTTCAACAGACGTCATCCGGTGGATTCCTTCAAGCATAGGAAGCTACCAAGCTCATTTGCCACCAATACACTGGTGTTAGATAAGCATTCTATCCCTTTACTCTTTTATCTGTAGAACTAACATTATTCTGCAGGTATCGGCGTATACAGAATGATTTAGGATCACAGAACGTCTTAAATCATTCTCCGTCCCTATCGGCTACTTTGACTATCGTTTTCGAAACTGACGTTTCTACAAACACAGTCAAAGTGGGGGCTTCTGTAGACACCTAAAAATGTCTCCCCAAAACCAAACCCGATGATGAACAACCTTTTACCGCCACTATTGGTCAGGTTTAGTATTTAATCCCGAGAGTGCTTAAAAATCATATTTTATTAAATTCATATTTTTTAACAGTCCATGGATTAGTTTTGATGTTTGGTAAAATCATAGTTTTAATTTCAACCCAAACTTATTAATTAATTTTTAGCCCAAGCCTTTTTTATTTTATTGTTTTATTATTTATTTTTGGCCCAAACCCTTTATTTATTTTTATTTAATTATTTTCTTATTTTAGCCCGAATAATAAAAAGTCAGAAAAGGCCCGAAATTATCAATCGGCACTTAAAATGCCGAAGGAAATTAGGTTTAAAAATGTATTTAGACGGAAAAACAGGATGGAATTTCCCGCGCCACGGCAGGTACCTACCGTGTCACGGGAATCCTTCCCGTCTGACAGTGGGATTTCCCGTGACACGGGAGGTCTGCCGTGACACGGGACATTCCGTGTCTTTTCCGCGTAAACCCTTAACGCGTTTTTTATCCCGTTTTCTGAAAATTTCCCGCATCACACCAAAAATGTACCGTGTCACGGGAAAGTGTACCGTCTGACGGTGGAGCTTCCCGTGTCACGGTACAGTTTGACCGTGTCACGGGATACTTTTTTAGGGTTTTTATCATTTTAGGGTTTCGTGTGCTCCATCAGCACATTTTCCCTATGAATCCCCCCTCATTTCTGATGAAAAGGGTACCGAGTAATTCTCTGATTTAATTTTCTCTCTTCTATGCTTTAGTCTAAACACTAGCCTACCCCTTTACTACTTCAAAACTCCTTCTTCAAGTACTCAAAGGAGCCCATACTTTACTCGTGGTTCCATCCTTAAGCCAAGGCGTTTATTATTTTGTAGTTGCAAACAAACAGAATCAAAGTAAGAGTCATGCTCCTTTTATTTTTATTATTTTTCTAACGATTATATGTTGTTGGAATTGTGATTAAATTGGTTTTAATATTAATGTTGTTTTATTTTTTATGATAACCATATTGCATGTTTAAAGGGAATATGTAATTGAAAATCACGCCTAATAAGATAATTTGGACAACCGGTTTAGGATCCTTTTTAATCTTATTATTAATTGAAGTGATCACCAATATTTTAGAATTATGTGTGCATTAATATTAAACCAATTTAGTTAAATAATAGTTTGGAGCGAATTGAATTATTGTTTGTATGCCTTTGAGATCACAGGAATGTTTTTCACTATAAGAATCGAGTAGAGGCCAATACGGGCGAATGTGACTCCACGACTCACTTCGTACCATCATCCCCGATCCTCCTTTTGTGGTTCCGAACCATATGGAGTTAGTAATCTCATGGATTATGATGGGGTGTAACCTTCACGGGTCAATCGTTGTTGCCTTTGTTGTCCCTTATTCGTGGTTGCCTTTTTATGATCCGTGAACGGTTTACAAGTTCCTTAAAAACTTGTTGGCGGCTCCCTACTTTCCTTGTCCCTAATCGTATTATGTCAATTCCCACTTCCTATGAGTGCCAAGCATATTCACACATGCTTTTAACGTAGGCGCACTTCGAGCGACGCCTACACTTGTTATGAGAATGTGCCTGGGTATATATAGGAGAAGAACCAAGCTGGTGCCACCTTATGACGTTAGGTGGCAAACCGACCTTACGTACCAGGTGCCTACGTGGCGGAAGCAGCTCTCCACATGGCCGAAAAGAGGGTCGTTAAGGATGTTTGGGTTCTACTAAATAGTAATGTGAAAGATTTTACTTTCGGCCAATTAACAATGCTGTCGGTATTATCCCGTACACTAACCGTTCTACTTGATTGAAACATTTTAAAAAATAAAATTAAAATTAAAATGGAAAAACCTAATTTCTCACGGGTTTACCCTTTTTTTTATAACTCCATTCTCAACCAGCCGTTAAAGGCATACATTTCTTCCCTTCATCAATACTTTCCTCCTCTCTCCCTCTCCTTAGATATGGCTTAAGTAGGGATGGCAGTGGATCTGGACCCGACCCGGATCCGTGGATCCAGATCCTTTTTCACGGATCTGGGTCCTCAAATTTTGGACCCGACGGATCCGGGTCGGATCCGGGTCCAGCTGGAAAAAATGGATCTGGGTCCGGGTCTAACTACCAGACCCGGACCCGGATCCGTAGACCCGTTTTAGAAATTTATTTTTTTTTAAAAATAAAATTCCTAATACAAGTGTACAGGCGCAGCTATACAAGACTCACAAAGTCACTCACAAATTTCGGGCCATATTAGAAATTGAAATCAACCCACAAAAAAAAACCCTAATTTTCTCTCTCTAGATTCCTTCTCCAATCTGGCAATCTCCACCAGCCACCACTCAACCTACTCTCCATGAACCACGACTCCATCAGATCGGCGGCAATCTCCGATCAGTTCTGTAACTCCTGTTAGTTCGGCGGCAATCTCCCTTCATTGCTGTAAGTCCCGTATTCCCTCCTCTTTTTAGTTTCTTTGTTGTTTACTTGTTTACTTTATATGAGCCAATAAACTAAAGTAGTAGTTTAGATTTGTTTGTGATGAATTTGTATAAGTTTGCATTTCAGTTGATGAAATTCGTGGGTTTATTTGTGTTATTGACGAAATTAGTGGGTTTATTTGTGATGTTGATCAATTCGTGGCCTTGTGGAGTTGTGGGTTTATTTGTATGTCAGTTGATGAAATTCTCAATTTCGTGGGCTATTTGTGCATGTTTTTGCTGCCAATTTGGTTGCACAATGTCAGTTTATCAACTATAGAAGAACTTAGCAATGATAATGGGAATTTGTATGTGAAGTAACTGTGAAGTAATGTCAGTTTATCAACTTAGCAATGTCAGTTTATCAACTTAGCAATGTCAGTTTATCAACTTAGCAATGTTAGTTTATCAACTTAGCAATGATAATGGGAATTAGTAGTATCATGTTTTTGCTGCCAATTTGGTTGCACAATGTCAGTTTATCAACTTAGCAATGTTAATTTATCAACTATAGCAGCTTATTCATTAGCGTGATTGAATCTGTTTAGCCTCAGCAAGTCAGCAATAGTTTGTTTTGTTAATTTTTATAATGTATGAAGCGTTACAGTGAGTGAGCGAATGATTGGGGCTTGCAGTCAGCAATAGACCCGTTTTGGACCCGGATTCGGACTCGGATCCGTTGGATCCATCGGATCTGGATCTGGATCCTCATTTTATGGACCCGACGGATCCGGGGCGGATCTGGATCCAAGGTTGAAAACGGATCTGGATCCGAGTCCATCTGGACCCGGTCCAGATCCGACCCATTGCCATCCCTAGGCTTAAGGTTCCTCCATGGCTTTTACCCTAACTACAATCAAAATTATCTCCATGGCAGAAAACCAATCTCTTCCTCAACCAAAAAGCCCAAATTTAAAGCTTCAACAATGGTGAAACCACAAGCAACTAAACCAATACAAGTCGCCCAATATTCGGCCACAACGCCTCTTTCATTGTCCTTTATCAATTCTCCTCCACATTGCTGCCCAATTTGGATTTGATTGTCAAATTCAAATTGACTTATTCAATTTATAGATGTATATTTAGCATATTAGGTTGTGATTTTATATGTTTATTACTTCATTGTTTTTTTTTTTGGAAAATAAGAGAAAATTTTATTACCAAAAGGAAAAGTTACAACTTACAAAAGCTAAGTTATAACAAACACCACACCAAACAAACAAACCAACCAAACACCAAACCGTTCAAGCTCTATCTCCTACCACCTTCTAGGAAGGGTACAGGAGAAAGAGACAAGAACACCCGGAGCACAAGCTTCCAGCCACCTTCTAGGAAGGGTTCTAGAAATAAGGCCCGAGAACACAGAGACAAGCATAAAGCAACAACAAAACACACCACCCCTATAAACTTTAAAAGGCAAACCTCCTCCTAGACTCAGTTGCAAAGCAACAAGACTAGACAAAAGAGGGAAAAGAATCAGCCCAAGGACAATGACAAAAAAACTAGAAAACAAAGCATTGCAACACAGACAGCAGCATAGAAGAACAGCAACAGAGACTATTGCAGCATTAAAAACAGCTACAACACAGTGCAGCAACTCCAACACTAGCAGCACCACCTGCAGCTAAACATCACAGCAGCAACACAGCCTGCAGGGTACAGCAAAAAGCAACAGCAACAACAACTAAGGAGCAGCAGTACATCAAGTCAGCAGCAGCAGCAGAGAATCAGAGCAACAGAGCACAACAGCAGCAAACACCAAAAGCAAAAGTTGCTGCACAGAATAGCCCTCAGCAACAACTGCAGACAGCAAGCAGGGCAGCCAGCAACAGCCACTGCAACAGTACAGCAGGGCAGGCAGACAGCAGCAGATGCAGCCAGCAGCTGCAGCACAGCACCAACCATAGACATCTCCTGATCAGAGCAGAACCAGAGCAGACAACAAAGCAAACCAGTCAGCAGCAACAAGAGAAACAGCAACTACAACTGAAATTCAGCAACAACAAGAAAGCATAAGCAATAGCAGAAATCAGCATCATAAATAGAGCCACAAGAGCAGCCAAAGCAAGACATCTATAGCAATAACCCCCAAAAAACCAGAACTCAAAAGTTAGGAACCAGAAATCAGTAAGAACCAGCAACAGAAATAGAAGACCAAGAAACAGGAGAAGCTCCTAAACGATCAAATATTTGCTTCCCGCCGGGATTCTACAGACTGAATGAAAGACAATATCCCTAACTAGAGCATCAACAGATTTGCAACAACCAGTAAATAGAATTGCATTCCTCTGAATCCAAATACCATAAACTGTTTCAGTGAAGGCCACCTGGATCACTTTGTTTTTCAATCTGGAACTTCTACAAATTTTCTTCAGCCAATCAACCTCATCACTAAACTGCTAAACAGGCTTGGAAACATGTAAGATACCCAACACCTTACTCCAAACCTGTCTACAGTATTCACAATCAAAAAAATAAGTGTTGAACACTTTCATTGCTATTCAAGCACAAGAAACACCTTGGATCACAAGAAATGTGCCACTGAAGCAACCTATCCTTAGTGACAAGCCTATTCCACAAAGCTAGCCACAAGATAAAAACACTTTTAGGAGTTCCTAAGTTATGACAAATAACTCTCTTCCAAGGAACTTTAGGCACTTGAGGCCTAATAGCAGCATAAAGCTTCTTGATTTTCAACTTTTTTGCCCTGTATGAAACCATCCCATCCCCCTTGATCATTCACACCATCTCTACAACTCAGAATCTTCTCCAAGAACCAAGAGCATTTAGCAGGGGTAGGGGTGGTCCAACAATCTTTATGCTTGAAGTAGTAGATATGGACCCACTTAACCCAAAGATTATCAGCCTTGTGAGCAATATCCCAGAGTAACTTGGTGACAGCTGCTTTATTCCACTCAGGAAGAGAAAGCAAGTTCCAGCCACCACAAACTTTAGGTAGACAGACATTATTCGAAGCAACCAAAGATTTCTTAGCAGGGGCAGAGGATCCAGTCCAAAGAAAACATCTGAACCTAGCCTCGATCTCTTTCAGAATTTTCTTCGGCAAGATAAAAAATTTGGGCCCAATAAGTCTGAATACCAAACAACACACTCTTCACCAATTGAAGCCTCCCAGCATAAGGCAAGTGTTTAGCCATCTACCCTTGGATTCTAGCAGTGACCTTCTCCACCAAAGCCTACATTGAGCAATAGTAAGCTTCTTGGAAGAGAGAGGGACCCCAAGATACCTAAAAGGGATGGTACCTTGAGAAACACCAAGAAGCTCCCTCATCTCTTTCTGAACATCAACAGAAACTCCCCCAAAATAGACTTCACTTTTATCAATAGCAGAAAGCCCAGAGGCACCCGAGAATTTCAAGAAGGCTTGGAAAAGAAGCTTAACAGAAACACTATCAGCCCTAGAAAACATCAATAGATCATCAGCAAACATCATGTGAGTTAGGTTTAACTTTTCACATCTAGGATGAAAGTTAAAATCAGGAGTTAACCTAAGCTCATCAAGGCATCTGGAGAGGTATTCCATACCGATAGCAAAAAGAAAGGGAGACATAGGGTCACCTTGTCTTAATCCTTTCTTAGCTTCAAAGGGAGGGGCAGGAAAACCATTAATAAGAATAGAATAAGAGACAGAAGTATTACTTCATTGTTAATTATCATATACTGTTTGTTCTTGTTTTCTCACATCTTTTAATTTTTTTTTTCATTTTCATTAGTTGTTCATTTGATTAATGTGAGTTTCTATGCTTTAAATTAAAGTATTTTTTTGTTTATGGATTAATGTCGAAATGATGCTATAGATCTACATTTTTTTGTTAAGTTGTTTTGTTTTAGGAAGATGTTTCTTTGATCTTGATTTTATTTTATTTTTATTTTATTTTTGAGATTATGATTAAGATCTACAGTTTTGTGTTGATGAAAATGCATGCCTTATACTTCCTATTTGTTTTTTTTGTTGGCTCTGACATTAAAAACAAAGGGTTATTATTTGGATGTTTGGTTAATTTCTAGTAACATGACTAAAAATGAATATATTTTAGTTGTTAAATATGTTTTATTTTAATTATCTATACATCTAATACTTATAATTTTTTTTTGCTTGTTTGCTTCAACAGATGAAGTAGATATAGAGGAGAAAACATTCTTAAAGATCTTCATGGAATCCTGCATTTTTGTTTCAAGTATTATTTTTTTCGCATTTGATTTGTATCAAAATGTACTTGGTGTTTTTGTCAAAAAAAAAAATGTACTTAGTGTTGTAATTAATTGAATACAGAGGTGAATAAAATTTATTTTGGTATTGGATTTTGACTTTTACAGTTTAAATTTGATTTGAGTTATTGATTGATGATGTAGATTTGTAGATATCAAACCTCCGCAATTCATGGAAATTATTATATTATTTAAAAAAACAATTAGACAAAGAGATATGTTATCTATGGGAACCGTTCTCTTTGATTTTGTATTCTACACGAGTTTTGAAGAATAAAATAAAACGGCTGACTCACAAAATCGTTCTCTTTCTTTTGCATAAAGAACGCCTTTTCTACCCGTTTTATAAACTTTACACATCGCTTAGCAGAAGAACGCTTCTAAGACGTTCTATAAGCCCTATTTCGACAGTTCTCTACCCCCTTTTTTGTAGTAGTGAAGCAAGGTAGTCTGACCGTGATGATTAACACCAACAAAATTTGCAAAGGGCAAATCATATTTATTCAATAGGAATGTCGTATCAAAACAAACAACATCCCTAAAATCTTCATAAGCAGCTCGACTACGAGCATCGATCCACAAAACATCTTGAAGCATACCATTCTTATCCAACCACTGCATGTGAAAGAAATTCTTGTTGTTAGTCTGCATCATTTGAAAGTACTTCATCATCGCATTTGCATCACCATCTTTAAATTTCAGCTTCTTCTCCCTCGCCCTTAAATTATGCAAGTCCTTCTTAATGAAACGCATATTCTGTAGGCCATTCCTCTCAGTAGCCATGAGGTTATGCATAGTTGAAGTGCTTATCCCAACATCATCAACAAATTTTAGCCTTTTCCTAACATGAGGCATCTCTCCAATTCTGCCATTCTATGCTTTGGAACTAGCAATGCTTTGGAAGGGGTTGGATTATGATTCTTATGCTCCAACTCCACCTTCTTCAACTCCAAGAAACCCACATTTTTTAGTCTTCTTCATTGCTACGGGTTCCCCTTCTAACTCCCTTGCCAATCTTTTCCCACCAACTTTCCTCCTAGTATCTGTTTTACCATAACACTCGCATTTCCATGTTGTTGCACGCTAAACCTTAACTCCCCCACAACCTTATAGGCACTTTGTGCAAGCACAACCCCAAACCCTTGCTGCTTGCCATACACATTGTAATACAAATCTGCTTCTTGTCAGGTATCAAAAATCATACCAACCTGAGGAGCCTCCACGGTTACACAGTCCAGGTTCACCATAGACTTGCACTCCTTCTCATCTGGAATGCAATATCCTCCCCTTTCCCCATTCCCCTCCTCCTCTACATAATCATCCACATAAACCACAACCATTTTAGCTTCATCGTCACCCACTTCATCATCACCAATAAACATCAAGTCATTTTCCTCATCCTCTCCTTTTTCCCCCAACAAACAACCCTCAATTGCTCCTGACATTTACACCTATATTGGGGTAATTCAAGGCAAATTAGCACAAACACAGGCATATTCCACAAATACAAGCGTATAACAACCATTTCCACAAAAACAGATAATTAACCAAATAAATAAGAAATCTAACTAAACTAACTCAAAATCAAATAATTACCTACCCAAAATCAGATAACTAAATACAAAATCACAATGATTTTAGCCTTTTCCTAACATGAGGCATCAGCAAATTTTAGCCTTTTCCTAACATGAGGCATCTCTCCAATTCTGCCATTCTATGCTTTGGAACTAGCAATGCTTTGGAAGGGGTTGGATTATGATTCTTATGCTCCAACTCCACCTTCTTCAACTCCAAGAAACCCACATTTTTTAGTCTTCTTCATTGCTACGGGTTCCCCTTCTAACTCCCTTGCCAATCTTTTCCCACCAACTTTCCTCCTAGTATCTGTTTTACCATAACACTCGCATTTCCATGTTGTTGCACGCTAAACCTTAACTCCCCCACAACCTTATAGGCACTTTGTGCAAGCACAACCCCAAACCCTTGCTGCTTGCCATACACATTGTAATACAAATCTGCTTCTTGCCAGGTATCAAAAATCATACCAACCTGAGGAGCCTCCACGGTTACACAGTCCAGGTTCACCATAGACTTGCACTCCTTCTCATCTGGAATGCAATATCCTCCCCTTTCCCCACTCCCCTCCTCCTCTACATAATCATCCACATAAACCACAACCATTTTAGCTTCATCGTCACCCACTTCATCATCACCAATAAACATCAAGTCATTTTCCTCATCCTCTCCTTTTTCCCCCAACAAACAACCCTCAATTGCTCCTGACATTTACACCTATATTGGGGTAATTCAAGGCAAATTAGCACAAACACAGGCATATTCCACAAATACAAGCGTATAACAACCATTTCCACAAAAACAGATAATTAATCAAATAAATTAGAAATCTAACTAAACTAACTCAAAATCAAATAATTACCTACCCAAAATCAGATAACTAAATACAAAATCACAATGATTTTTAAACATTTTCCTTAAAAAAACTACACATTTCTACAACAACATGATATACCAAACCAGTACTGTTTAGGGTAATTTTACCCCGCCACGTGGTCCAATCAGAGGATGACACGTGTCAGCCCCAGGATGGCCCAAGGTGGACCTATCCCTGCTTGACACGTGTCACTCCAGAAAACTGGGAGGAAAGGCGACCTTCAAGCCCAAATCTCGAGAAAGCCGCAATGCGGCGCAACCCACCAATGATTAGGGATTCAGTGAACTAATAAGGGGCACAAATCCCGAGGACCCTATAAATAGGGAGATTCCCCTCTTTTGGAGGGCACGTTTTTACCATTTATTACAAACTGTCCTTGTGATAGAGACATCTGAGCTTGGAATCCGAGCAGAGACCCACCTAAATTTCCGCACCTTTTTCTCTCCCTTCAAGTTACTAACTTGTTCGTCGGAGGCGGAGCACCACCCAACCGGTGTCTCCGTTTGTTTTGCAGGTACAGCTCACGCCAGATCAGTCTTCGGGTTGTAACTCTCTCGAGGGACAAAAACACCCAAAACAAGTACAACAACATAACTAGTCAAAAATCAATTATGTAAGCTTCAAATACAAGCGTATAACAACCATTTCCACAAAATAGATAATTAACCAAATAAATCAGAAATCTAACTATACTAACTCAAAATCAAATAATTACCTACCCAAAATCAGATAACTAAATACAAAATCACAATGATTTTCAACCATTTTCCCCCAAAAAAACAACACATTTCTACAACAACATGATATACCAAACCAGTACAACAACATAACTAGTCAAAAATCAATTATGTAAGCTTCAAAACTTTAACAAAAAAACAAACAAATTGGCAAGAAAACACTAATACAACAACAATTTAGCATCAAACACTAATTTAATGGGACTTACAAATCAAAGCTTCAACACCGTTAATCGCCTTAGCCAATCAATCAATTGCAAATTCACTATGCATACTCGAACAAAATAGACCCACAAATCAGCTTCAGCTCAAGCAATCCACTTTACCTTCAATCGCAAAAATTAGATTTGTAACCCTAAACGTGCAAAAAATACTCCATATCAACATTAAAATTCTCCAAACAAATACCTACTCACGCTTGAATTGATAAAACATACCTGATTCGGAAAGCTAAGAATTGTTCACAATTGAATTGCGAGGAGAAGTATTGCACAAGGAGAAGACATTGATGATTGCAAGGAAGAACACAAAATGTGTTGAATTTGCCTTTCATTTGGTGGTTAAAGTCTTCAACGTGACACTGTTGACACAACGGAGTATACAATACCCAAATACACTCACTTCGTATAAAGATACAACTTAAAATACAGCCGGGACCCACAAATACACTAACTTCGTATTTTTTCCACGTACTATACATAGCACGGTGCTGGGAAGAGAATTAGCCCACAAAAACCCTGTCAAAATAGTCGATCACTGTCGTAAACTGTAAACATCCCCATTTACCAGCAACAAACACACAGAGAAAACAAGGGTCAGACCATCATTCATTGAGAATAGAGATGAAGGCATCTTTAAAGGGCAAATACGAGTACGAAACAGACAAAGCCGCCACCTCCGCCACTTCCACCCTCGCTTTTCCCGTCGGCGACTTCAAACTCCGTGCTTCCGTCACTGACGCCACCTTCGTCAAAGGTCCTTCCTTCAATGGCCTCGGTCTTTCCCTTGAAAAACCCGGTTTCTTTATCGTCGACTATAATGTTCCCAAGAAGGTTCGCTTTTGCTATATTACCCTCAATTTCTTAATTGTTTGTTCAATTGCTTGTATTTCACGCTCAATTTTTGTGGGTTCATTTTGTTTCTTTGTTTGTTTCTAGGATTTTCGGTTTCAGTTCATGAATTCAGTTAGGGTTTTAGAGAAGCCATTGAATATGACTTATATTCGTAATTACCTTCAATTTCTTTATTGTTTGTTCAATTGCTTGAAATTTACGCTGAACTTATGTGGGTTTCATTTTGTTTCTTTGTTTGTTTGTAGGATTTTCGGTTTCAGTTCATGAACTCTGTTAGCGTTTTAGAGAAGCGATTGAATATGACTTATATTCATAATAAGAATGATAATAGGACTTTGTTGGATGGAACTTTGGTGTTGGATTCTAGTAACAAGGTTTCTGCTAATCATATGTTGGGTTCAAGATATGGGAAATTCAGGTATACTTATATTCATAAAGGGGTTACTATTTTCGAGCCCAGTTACGATTTGGGGAAGAATTCGTGGGATTTTGCTTTGTCTAGGAGGGTTTATGGTGATGATGTTCTTAAGGCTTCTTATCAAACCTCCAATCAGATTCTTGGGCTAGATTGGTCCAGGAATTCCAAAACAAATGGATGTTTTAAGGTAAATTTAGCTCTATGTTGATTATTCTTTTCGTCTTTTCGAAATTATATTAAGGTTTTTATTTGCCTTGATTGCTATACTCATTTGCTTTGTTGTGAATTTTGCTATGTTCTTATTTTATGTTGCTGGTAAAACGATTGTTGATTGTTTTGTTGGGGTGGTTGTGTTTGGTGTGGGATGTCTTAATGTAAAAGATTTTCAGCATAATTATGAATACTGAC